GAATTAAAGCCACAAATAGCTCCAGGGACAAGCTCTGCTCAGAAACACCCTCAGGAATGTGGGGCATCCTGCTGGGCTCTCCCACCTGCAGGTGACCCAGCTCTCAGTGGCCAGATGCCAACAGGTCCCAGGCAGGTGACGCCTCCATCGGTGACACTCGGAGCTGTTTCCTGGCCAGAGCCACCAGGTCCTAACCCCTCTGGGTGTGTTACAGGCTCCAGAGAGAGCAGATCAAGTCCTTGGGTGGCAGCTGCATGGACTGTGGCCCTGCTGAGCTCCACTTCTCCATCACAGACCCAGAGCTGCTGACAAACACAGCCCGGGAGCTGAACCGGCTGCGGGAGGACAAGGCCAAACTGGAGATGCAGCTGCATGAGCTGGAGAAGGTGCTGACTGGGCTGCTGGTGTCCTGGGGCTGGGGGGAAACTGGGGGTGATGGGGAGCAGCCCTCCCAGGAGGTTTCCTGTGCCTGGGATACAGTTTGTGCTCCCTTTCTCCTTTTGGGAAGAGATGGGGTGTCCAAGCAGCTGGGAAGACCCAGAGATGGGGGTCATGGAGCTCTGGGAGGGTTGAGGAGTAGGAGATGTGATGGCAGAGCTGCCAGGCCAGCAGATCAGCTCCCTGCTCAAAGAAAAGGAGGATGAGGATGGGGATTTTCCTTCTGGAATGCCTGGGCAGGAGCCCGTGCTCCAAACCACACCAGTCAGCTCCACCTCCTCCCACTGGTTCTGCCTGGGCAGAGATGTGTCTCTTGGTTTGTGTGAGGTCTTATTTCTTGAACAACATGTTAAAAAAGGATGGGAGACCTGAACCTTCAGATGGTGCTGCATGTCAGCTCCTTGCCAGGGTGGCTGTCACAGTGCTGGGACACTGGGGAGGCTGCACTGGGGTGATGCTGACAGCAACAATGTTCTTCCCTTTCCTTCAGAAAAGCCTGCAAGGAACCTCAGCCTTCCTGCTGTCTCCTGAGCAGTAAGTGCTCTTTGTTTCTCAGGATTTTTGTCATTCTGGTTTCTCCTTGCTGTGTGGATTGAGGAGGCTTTTCTGCTTGGCTTGAGGATGGCAATAAATAGGGAGAGAGTGAGCTGGAGGGGCCTCAGCTGAGGAGCAGGGCCAGCTGTTGTCTGCTGGCAGCCTTTCCTGCTGTGCCATGAGCTGGTCATTTGGGCCTCCATCCAAGAAAGCTCTTCAGCACATGTTTGGTTGACTCATGGTTTTAGTCTCACTGATCTCTAGAAGCTGAAGTTTATCCTGTGCCCGAGGGCTTTGGTGGATCACAGAGTCATGGGCTGGTTTGGGTTGGAAGGAACCTGAAGGATCACTCAGATCCACCCCCTTGCATGGGCAGGGACACCTCCCACCAGCCCAGGCTGCTCCAAGCCCCATCCAACCTGCCCTTCAACACTGCCAGGGATGGGGCAGCCACAGCTTCTCTGGGCAACCTGGGCCAGGCTCTCACCACCCTCACACCAAAGAATTTCCTCCTCATGTCCAACCTCAATCTCCCCTCTGCCAGTTTTCATCCATCCCCCCTTGTCCTCTCCCTCCCTGCCCTTGTCCCAAGTCCCTCCCCAGCTTGATGAAATACATCTAATCCCTGATGTGTTTCCTAGGCTGCCTCATTTTAAAAGGCTGGAAGAATCCCAGGGGACAAGATTCCACCTCTCCACAGCTAGAGTTGGTCGAGTTTCAACTGAATAATGCAACAGGGGGGAGAAACCCATCAAAAATGAGCAAATAAAGGGCATGGTGGGAAGGTACAGGGTCACAAGGTGTTCCAGCCCAGGTCTGGGCTGGAGGAGAAACAAGATTATCCCAAACTGGTTGGTGTTTCTCTTACATTTCTCAGGTTGGGATCCTGGGGAGGGACGAAAGGGGGGATGGATGAAAACTGGCAGAGGGGAGATTGAGGTTGGACATGAGGAGGGAATTCTTTGGTGTGAGGGTGGTGAGAGCCTGGCCCAGGTTGCCCAGGGAAGCTGTGGCTGCCCCATCCCTGGCAGTGTTGAAGGGCACGTTGAGCTCTGTGACCTGCTGGATTTGAACATCTGAGAATGATCAAAATCTGCTTTTCTCTCCCAGGCAGCTGGATGGGAAGGGCTGGGCAGAGGTCAGGAAGCAGCTCCAGGAGTTCACACGCAGCACCCAGGTAAAGGTCTGGAACTGCCCAGCTGGAGCAGCTCTGCTCTGGAGCCAGGCTGGGAGAGTTGGGGTGTTCAGCCTGGAGAAGAGAAGGCTCCAGGGAGACCTTAGAGCACCTTCCAGGGCCTGAAGGGGCTCCAGGAAAGCTGGGGAGGGACTTGGGACAAGGGCAGGGAGGGAGAGGACAAGGGGGAAGGGATGAAAACTGGCAGAGGGGAGATTGAGGTTGGACATGAGGAGGGAATTCTTTGGTGTGAGGGTGATGAGACACAAATCTGTGCAGCTTCTGGGGGAGTTAATGATGGCTGGGCAGGCAGGGGCTGCCTGCTCTGCCCCCCAAGGCTCCTCTCCCCCAGCACATCCCTGCCCTGGGGCTCCCACAGCCTCATGCCAAGCAGAGCTGGGGAGCTGGTTGGTCCCACCTGGCAGAGAAGGACCCAGCAACTTCATTCCCATCTCACCAAGCTCCCTGTGTTCTCTCCATGTCTCCTTGCCCCTCCAGGAGGACTTGGAGCAGCAGAGGAGCCAGCTGCTGACACGGGCTGTGGTGGCAGAAGAGCAGGTGTCAGAGCTGCAGGAATACATCGACAAGCACCTGGCCAGGTGAGAGGGCAGCATCCCCTTTTTCCCCCTCCTCTGATTCCTGCTCCAAGTTTCTCTCCCAGGCTCATTACCAGGGGCTGACCTTGCCACTGCCTTCCCACAGCACTGCTGGGGCAGCTGGTGTCCCACTGCATGTCCAGCTGCCACCACCCCTTGTCCCACAGGGCAGGGGGCAGCGTCTGTCCTGCCCCACCACGTGTCTCCTTCCCTGGGTGCTCACCCATCCTTTGGAGGGAGCTGGGAGAGGGGTTGTCTGAAGTGCAAGGCCTCCCAGCAGGTGTGAGTCCAGAGGAGGGCATGAAGGTGACCCAGGGGCTGGAGCAGCTCTGCTCTGGAGCCAGGCTGGGAGAGTTGGGGAGTTCAGCCTGGAGAAGAGAAGGCTCCAGGGAGACCTTAGAGCACCTTCCAGGGCCTGAAGGGGCTCCAGGAAAGCTGGGGAAGGACTTGGGACAAGGGCAGGGAGGGAGAGGACAAGGGGGATGGATGAAAACTGGCAGAGGGGAGATTGAGGTTGGACATGAGGAGGAAATTCTTTGGTGTGAGGGTGGTGAGAGCCTGGCCCAGGTTGCCCAGGGAAGCTGTGGCTGCCCCATCCCTGGCAGTGTTGAAGGGCAGGTTGGATGGGGCTTGGAGCAACCTGGGCTGGTGGGAGGTGTCCCTGCCCATGCAGGGGGTTGGGAATAGATGATCTTTAAGGTCCCTCTCAACTTACACCATTCCATGACTCTCTGCCTTGATTTATGATCCTCTCTCCTGGCTCATCACACCCAGAGCAGTGGGAAGAGCTGCTCAGGGCAGGAAGGCTGGGAAGCAGCAGGAGCAATGGTCCAGCTGCCCCTGCCCCCAGCTGGGCTGTGCCCTGGGCTCAGCCTCCCAGCCTTGTTGATGGCACCATGACCTGCCAGAGCCAGGAAAAGCACCTTTCCCTGGGGAACAGACTGTGGTTTTACACCTGCCAGGTGCTTCAGTGCCCTGCACTAATTAACCCTGCACCTCATTAGTGTGCAGTGAGGCCAGGCAGGGCCTGCATTGGCATTTATCACTCCTGGGGGGCTGGGAGGTGGGTGGCAGTGGGACTGTGACCACAGGGGCAGGGACAGTTGCTGCCTCCCCCTTGCAGGTACAGGCAGGAGCTGCTCCAGCTGCAGAAGGTGCCACGTGTGCCCAGTGCTGGGGAGGCCAGAAGGAGCAGCTGCCACCTCCACCCACAGCTCCACAGCACCTGAGGAGGGAGCAGCAGGACTGAAGAGCAGGGAGGTTGCTGTCATGTGGGGCTGGCCAGGGGAAGCACCCAGCCCTGCTCAGGGGGGTTCTGGGTCTCCAGTTAACAGCACTAACATGGGATGGGGACAACTGGGCTTCATCTCCCCTCTGAGCCCTCTGCTGCTCCACCAGCACCTCAGGACTTGGGGGACAGTTTCCCAGGCAGCTGCAGAAACAGGCTCCTGTGGTGACATCTCCTGGGTCAGACCTGGCTGGGAGCCCAAGGGCCATCTCAGGTCCCCATCACCAGGGCAATGGTCTGAAGCTGAAAGGGGAGATTGAGGTTGGACATTGGGAAGGAATTTTTTGCTGTGAGGGTGGTGAGAGCCTGGCCCAGGTTGCCCAGGGAAGCTGTGGCTGCCCCATCCCTGGCAGTGTTGAAGGGCAGGTTGGATGGGGCTTGGAGCAACCTGGGCTGGTGGGAGGTGTCTCTGCCCATGCAGGGGGGTGGGATTGGAGCATCTTTAAGGTCCCTTCCAACCCAAACCATGCCATGATTTTGTGATCTCTGCTCCTGCCTTTGCTCCCCTCCCAGCTCCCAGGAGGTAAGGCCAGGGCTGCTTCAAGCCAGGCTCTGCTCCCAGAGGTCAGACCAGCTGCCCCTTCATGATGGGCAAACCTTCTTTCCACTGTGTTTGAGTAGCAAAGGGAATGGGACCAAGACCAGTGGGGCCAAACTGATCCACCAGCAGGTGGGGAGCTGGGCAGACCCTCCTGAGCTGCCCTCAGGGGGATGGCAGAGCCAAGCCCAGGGGAGCAGCTCTTGGCTCCAGGACCAACCTGCAGCTTCAAGGCCAAAGCCTCAAGGGAAAGAACCACCCAAACGTTTATTTTGGAAACAAAACACACCTAGAAATAAAGCAGCCAAATGACAGAGAGAGGCACTGCAGACTGAGCCCTTCAATCATCCCAGGGTGATTATTTTTTCCCCCCTCCTCCCTCGTTTCTCCTGCTCTGTGGGGGACAAGGAAGGACCATCACCCTGCAAACCCTGGGGAGAAGCTGAGAAGCCCCCAAGGGCTGGAGAGGGGGGTTGTCCCCCCATCCTGCTGCTGCCCCTGGATGCCAGAGCCCTCGAGGCTGCTGCCCCTAGCAGGGGGTCCCCCTGGGGGGGCTCTGAGCTGCTCGCACCTCCTTCATGTCATAGGCCCAGACCTGCTCCAGCCCCTGGCCCAGGGAGCAACTGGGGGGCCAGGAGGGGAAGGGGAAGCGTCCGACCACCACCCGGGCATCATCAGGGAGCTCTGCAAGGAGCTTGGCAGCCAGGGGAGGCTTCTGGGGGGAGAGAGAGAGACACATCAGGGCCAGGTGACCCTTGAGAAGTCACACAGTGGCAGCAGGGAGAGGCCACCAGGTTCTTGGCACGGCTGGTGGGTGGCCAGGGAACATCCCAAAATGAAGGGTTGGGACCAGTCCTGGGACTGGGACAAGTAGAGAGGACAAGGGGGGATGGATTTAAACTGGGAGAGGGAGATTGAGGTTGGACATGAGGAGGAAATTCTTTGGTGTGAGAGTGGTGAGAGCCTGGCCCAGGTTGCCCAGGGAAGCTGTGGCTGCCCCATCCCTGGCAGTGTTGAAGGGCAGGTTGGATGGGGCTTGGAGCAACCTGGGCTGGTGGGAGGTGTCCCTGCCCGTGCAGGGGGGTGGGACTGGATGATCTTTAAGGTCCCTTCCAAGCCAAACCATCCCATGACTGTAGGAAATGGCCTCACGTTACCCAGGGGAGGTTTAGATGAGGACACTGGGAACATTTTCTTCCCCAAAAGGGCTGTCAGGCCCTGGCCCAGGCTGCCCAGGCACTGGTTTGAGTCCCCATCCCTGAAGGGGTTTCAAAGTGCTGAGGGACACAGTTTAGCACTGGACTTGGCAGAGTTGGGTTCATGACTTGATATCTGAAAGGTCTTTCCCAACAACTCCATAAATCCCAGTGGTGCTGAGCACTGAATCACCCACAGCCCATGTCCCCCCTGGGCACTGGTTTTTCAGGACTCTCTGCCACTGTCCCAGGTTGTCCCATGTCTAAGGAAACCCTCCCTGGAGCTCCCCCAGAAGCAGTTGGGGGGCAGGGGACCCACTCACCACGCTGGGGGCCAGGAACACGATCACGTTGTAGCAGTCAGAGAGATTCACCTTGGAAGGGAAGGAGAAGGGGAGTGAGGGAAGCAGCAGGAAGAGGGGGGGGCTGTGGGGGT